AAGAAGATATAACACTTATTAATATATATGCACCTAACATAGGAGCACTGAAGTATATAAAGCAACCATTAACAGACCTAAAGGGAGAAACTGCCAGCAACAAAATAATAGCAGGAAACTTTAATGCCCCACTAACATCAATGGATAGATCATCCAGACAGAGAGTAACAAGGAAACATTGGCCTTAAATACAACACTAGATCAGATGGACTTAACAGATACATATAGAACATTCCATCCAAAAGCAGTGGAATACACATTCTTTTCAAGTGCACATGGGACTTTCTCAAAGATAGACTGTATGTCAGGAAACAAAACAAGTCTCAACAAATTTAAGAAAATTGAAATCATATCAAGCATCTTTTCCATCCACAAGGGTATGAAACTAGAAATCAACCACAAGCAAACAGCTAGATAAGTCACAGAACATGTGCAGACTAAACAACATGCTACTGAACAACTATTGGATCAATGGAGAAATCAAAGGAGAAATAAAAAAAATATCTGGAGACAAAGGAAAATAAAAATGCAACATACCAAAACTTATGGGATGCAGCACAAGTAGTACTAACAGGGAAGCATATAGCAATACAGGCTTACCTCAAAAAACAAGAAAAGTCTCAAATAAACAATCTAACAAGATACCTAAAACAACTAGAAAAAGAAGACCAAATGAAGCCCAAAAGAAGACCAAAGTCAGTAAAAGGAAGGAATTAATAAAAGTCAGAGTGGAAACAAATGAAATAGAGACTAAAAAAATAGAAAATATCAATGGAAGTAAGAGCTGGTTCTTTGAAAAGACAAACAAAATTGAAAAATCCTTATTTAGACTAAATAAGAAAAAAAGCAAGAAGGCTCAAATAAATAAAATCATAAATGAAAGAGAAGAAATTACAACAGATACCACAGAAATATGAAGGATTATAAGATAATGCTATGGAAAGCTATAGGTCAACAAACTGGATAACCTAGAAGAAATGGATACATTCTTAGAATCATACAATCTTCCAAAATTGAATTAAGAAGAAATAGAGACTCTGAATATACCATTCACAAGTGACAGATTAAAACAGTAATCAAAAAACTCCCAAAAAACAAAAGTCCAGGACCAGACAGCTTCTCTGTTGAATTCTAGAATATGTAATACCTATCCTTCTTAAAGTCTTCCAAAAAATTCAAGAGGACGGGTTGCTTCCTAACTCATTTTACAGAGCCAACATTACCATGATACCAAAACCAGACAAGGACAACACAAAAAAAGAAAATTACAATATTGCTGATGAATATAGATGCAAAAATCAAGAAAATATTAGCAAATCAAATAAAACAATACATTAAAAGGATCATACATCACAATCAAGTGGGATTTATTCCAGGGAAGCAGGGATGATTCAACATCTGCAAATCAATCAATGTGATACACCACATTAAGAAAATGAAGAATAAAAATCATGTGATCATCTCGATAGATGCAGAGACAGCATTTGACAAGATTCAACATTCATTTATGATAAAAACTCTGAATAAAATGGGTATAGAATAAAAGTACCTCAACATGATAAAGGCCATATATGACAGACCCACAGCCAAAATCAGACTCAATGGTAAAAAACTAAAAGCTATTCCTCTAAGAACAGGAACAAGGCAAAAATGCCTACTCTTGCCACTCTTATTTCAACATAGTACTGGAAGTCCAAGCCAGAACAATCAGATAAGAAAAAGAAATAAAAGGGATCCAAATTGGAAAGGAAGAAATAAAATTGTCACTACTTGTGAATGACATGATTCTATATAGAGAAAACCATAAAGAATCCACCAAAGAACTATTAGAACTTGTTAATAAATACAGTCAAGTTGCAGGGTGCAAAATCAACATTCAAAAATCAGTCACATTTCTATACACTAACAACAAATTAACAGAAAGAGAAATCAAGAATGCCATACTATTTACAATTACAACAAAAAATAAAATATCTAGGCATAAATTTAACCAAGGAGGTGAAAGACCTGTGCACTGAAAACTATAAGACATTTTTTAAAGAAATTAAAGAAGACATAAAGAAATGGAAAGATATTCTGTGCTCTTGGATTGAAAGAATAAACATAGCTAAAATGTTCATATTACCTAAAGCAATCTACAGATCCTAATCAGAATTCCGATGACATTTTTCACAGAAATAGAACAAAGAATCCTAAAATTTGTATGGAACGACAAAAGACCCCAAATAGCCAAAGCAATCCTGAGAAAAAAAGAAATCTGGAGGTATCACACTCTCTGATTTCAAAATATACTACAAAGCTATAGTAATAGTACTGGCAGAAAAACAGACACACAGATCAATGGAACAGAAGCGAGAGCCCAGAAATAAACACACATATCTGTGGACAGCTAATTTTCAACAAAGGAGCCAAGAACATACAATGGAGAAAAGAAAATCTCTTTAATAAACAGTGCTGGGAAAACTGGGCAGCCGCATGCAAAAGAATGAAAGTAGACCATTATCTTACACCATATACAAAAGTTAACTCAAAATGGATCAAAGACTTCAATGTAAGATCTGAAATCACAAAAATGCTAGAAGAAAACATAGGCAGTAGCTCTTTGACATCAGTCATAGTAGTATCTTTTTGATTACCATGTCTCATTAGGCAAAGGAAACAAAAGAAAAAAATAAACAAATGGGACTACATAAGACTAAAAAGTTTCTGCACAGCAAAGGAAACAATCAAAAAAACAAAAAAGACAACCCACCAACTGGGAGAAAATTTTTGCACATCACATATTTGATAAGAGGTTAATATCCAAAATGTATAAAGAACTCATATAACTCAGCAACAACAACAAAAACAACCTGAGCAAAAATTGGGCAGAGGATATGAACAGACATTTTTCCAAAGAAGATATACTGATGGCCAACAGGCACGTCAAAATATATTCAACATCACTAATTATTAGGGAAATGCAAATCAAAACTACAATGAGATGTCACCTCATGCCCGTCAGAATGGCTTTTATTAAGAAGACAAGAAATAACAAGTGTTGCAGAGGATGTGGAGGAAACAGAACCCTTGCACACTGCTGCTGGTAGGAATGCAAACTGGTGCAGCCACTATGGAAAACAGTATGGAGATTTCTCAAAAAATTAAAAAATATAAATACCATATGATTCAGGTATTCCACTTCTGAGTATTTATCCAAAGAACATAAAAACACTAATTTGAAAAGATATATGCACCCCTATGTTCATTGCAGCATTATTCACAATAGTCGAGTCTTTGAAGCAACTTAAGTGCCCATCAATGGATGAATGGATAAAGAAGATGTGGTATATATATACAATGGAATATTACTCAGCCATAAAAAAGATGAAAGCACGCAATTGGCAACAACATGGATGGACCTTGAGGGTATTATGCTGAGCAAAATAAGTCAGAGAAAGACAATTATTGTATGACTTCACTCATATGTAGAAGACAAACAAACAAACACACAGATTCAGAGAACAGATTGGTGGTTACCAGAGGGGAAAGGAGTGGGAGGAGGACAAAAGGGGTAAAGGGGCACACGTGTATGATGAGAGACGGAAACTGGACTTTTGGTGGTGAACATGATGCAGTCTATATAAAAGTCGAAATATAATGATGTACACCTGAAATTTATATAATGTTATAAACCAATGTGACCTCAATAAAATTTTTAAAAAAAGGTAGTCATCTACAAGCCAAGGAGAGAGGCCTCAGGAGAATATAAACCTACTGACACCTTGATCTTGGATTTCCAGCTTCCAGAACTGTGAAAAAATAAATTTCTGTTGTTTAAGACACACAACCTGTGGTTTTTAGTTATGGCAGCCCTAGAAAACCAACACACAAACCATAACAGAATTAAACTACAAAATCAATAATAGAAATTATTACAATACACTTCTAAATAAATCATGAGTCAAAAAAGAAATCAAAACAGAGATGAGAAAATATTACTACTAAATGAAAATGAAAAAACACATATCCAAATATCTTGGATGCTACTAAAGCAGAACATAGTAGGAAATTTATAGCATTAAATGCTTATATTTGGAAAAAAAGAAAAGCCTCAAATTAACAATCTAAAATTATTCCTTAAGTAACTAGAAAAAAAAAAGAACAAATTAAATGCAGAAAAAGCAGAAGGAATTCAATAATCAAGATAAGAGCAGAAATCAATGAAATTAAAAGCAGGAAAACCATAAACAGCATGAATAAAGCAAAAGCTGTTTCTTTGAAATTAATAAAGTTGATAAACCCTTAGCCAGACTGACCATGAAAAAAAAGACACAAACTACTAATATTATAAATGAGAGAGGGGACATCATCACAAATCCTGCAGATATTAAAAGAATAATAAAGGAATATCATCAACAAATTAAATGAAATGGACAACTTTCCTTAAAGACACAAACTACCAAGGCTTATTCAAGAAAGGATAAAAAGAGATAAATAACCTGAATGTCCTGTATCTATTGAAGAAATTGAATTTGTAGTTAAAAACCTTTCTACAAAAAAATTGCCGGGCCCGTATGGTTTTACCAATGAATTGTACCACACATTTCAGGAAGGAATAATACCAATTTTACTCAAATATTCCAGAAAATTTGAGTGCGGAACATATCATTTTATGTGGCCAGGTTTACTCTGTTATTTACCCTAATAACAAATCTGAAAACCACCTTACAAGGAAAAAAACAACTATAGACTAATATCCCTTATGAATAAAGATGCAAAAATCCTCAAGACATGTTAACAGGTTGAATCCAGCAATATATGAAAAAGATAATACGTTATGACCATGCTGAGTTTATACTGGATATGCAAGATTGATTCAGCATTTGAAATTCAATCAATGTTATTTATCATGTTAACAGACTAAAGGAGAAAAACTATATGATCTTCTCAATAGATACAGGAAAAAGAGCATTTGACAGAATTGAACTGTAGAATCAATTGTTTATTTTCAAACAAACCTGGACAATGCCAACAGAATGATATGGAGAACACATTGTAGACATGAAAGCAAGGCCCACAGTTGTTCCAGAAAGTTCTGTTGCCCTGCAAGAAAGAAAGAAATTGATATAACAACTATGATTCTAAGCTGTGTTTTCTATAGACAATTCATCCAGAACTCTAAATAATTAGCAGAGAAACTCACATTATGAATCATCACTTAAACATTTCCTTCAGTTTTTGAATTTGCATGAAGGCATTTTTTTTATACAATAATTGTCATATCACTTAAATCCAAGCACCTGGATGTAATCACTTTTAATATTTTATATCTCTCATTCATAATCATTATATTTTTTATTGTGGAATTCATTCCTTTCAGGAGATAAAGGGGGATTTATTTCATCCTAATAAATGTTTTTGTTATATATGTATCTTATTTTGATATTAGTATTGTCACATATGCTTTGTTTTAATTTATATTTTCCTGTTATATGTTTTTATATGCATTTACTTTTGTTTTCCTTTAGAACTGTTTTAGTCATAGTAGGATTGGGAGTTTGGGCCCATTCTGAAAGTATTTGTGTTATTCAAGCATTTATATTATTGAAATATTTGTCCTATTGAAGAGAGATTTGAACAACTTGCATTTATTGACATAGATGATATGTTTTGTCTTTAGTAATTTTAATTTCCTTTTTTGGTTTTGTTCCATTTTGTTTTTCTTTCAATTTGCAATGACTGTATGTGCTTTCTTTGTTATTTTTCTTCTCCTATCTGTTCAAGATCCTGGCCCTGGTTTGTTTCTAGAAATTTGCAAAGTATGTATCATTTTTTGTGTGAGGAAGATCAGCCCTGAGCTAACATCCATGCCAATCCTCCTCTTTTTGCTGAGGAAGACTGGCGTTGAGCTAACATCCGTGCCCATCTTCCTCCACTTTATATGGGACGCCACCACAGCATGGCCTGACAAGCAGTGCGTCGGTGCGCGCCGGGGATCTGAACCCGGGCCGCCAGCAGCAGGATGTGCGCACTTAACTGCTTAGGCCACAGGGCCAGCCCCAAGTATGCATCATTTTTTAAATTCCCTTAGTAGATGCATTTACGTAAAAAGTTGAACCTATCTTTTCCCACTTACCAACATCAAGAATGGAGAGTACTGATTTTGCCATACAAAATGAGGAAATTAAAGAACTCCCTCCTACTTTCCATTTCTTGTGTAGTTTTCAGATATCTGTTATTTTGAAATGACATTTGCATCGTACATGATATTTTAAAGATTTATGGAATTTGTATCCTCTTTTAGAATTATATTATAAAATTAGTTATATTTAAGTCTACATTTGTATGGGTTCAATTTTGAATACTAGGTCATTTATAAAAAATAAAATCTTCCCCCACCATGGAGTTATCTCTTTTGGTTCCTCTTCTTAGTGAATAGAGAATATTTGGACTCTAAGGTTCTCATCTGGTTATGTCTAGGTAAGGTATCTTCTGTTAATATTTGTCAGGTAAACGGTAAGACTTTGATTTTACAAGTGAAAGGACAATTATTTATTTCCATCAGATCTTTTCAGCGCTTTTACCTGTTTATTCTGGTCTGTTCAGGAAATCTACACTTGATATTGGATTGCCATTTTTTATCTATACATCTGTCATCTTGTCTATGATTTTTGTGTCTCTACCCTACTACTTCACAATATGGGAATACACTACAATTTGAGCATGGCTCTGGAGTTGAGTTACCTGACTACTTACCAGCTATGAGACCTTGGAAAATCACTAAACCTCTCCAAACAATGAGCTCTGTGCTGTGGTGGGCCCTCGAGTCTGGAACTCACCTTTCCGAATTAAGAAACTGTGGCAGCTACTCTTCAAAGATAACTGCCAATGAACCAGCCTTGCAGTATTCACACCCTGTGTAGTGCCTTCCCCTGAATCTGGATAGACCTATGACTTGCTCTTGAGCAACAGAATATACCAGAAATGACACTGTGATTTCAGAAGCTGAGTCATAACAAGCCTTGAAGCTTTCTCCTGAGCTTCTTAGAATCCTTTTTCTGGGGAAAGCTGGTGACCTTGTAAGAAGTCCAAAACCCTGAGACTGCCATGTCGGAGGAAGTGCACGGTAACTGCATGAAAAGCTGTATATACAGAGAGATGACCAACCAGCCCCCCTGCTCCAGCCACACCAGGCAAGGCACCAGACATATAAGTGAAGAGGATTTATTTTACGTCAGGAAGTTGTGGGCTGATGTGTTCTACAGTAATAGACAACCAGCACAGAATGTTAATTAATTCTGACAACACTTAGTCCATTTATTTCCCATGACACCACTGTTTTCTTAGGAAGTGAAACTCAAGTAATTTTAAGTCACTCCTTGCTGCTTCCCTCTACTTGATTCCAGCTGCAAACTATCCAGCAGAATTTTCTTGATTCCTTTGGGGTATATGGTCAGCAGTCTTGTGTAATTTACAGCCATTAGATTTATTTCCCCTGTTTTTTTCTTTTAATTAGTCATGTCAGCAGGATGGTAGAGGTGTGGGATTGGAATATAATATTCAATTTTCCTTCTATCCTAGAAGTTTGTCCTGACTAGTGCTTAAAGCTAATTAGTTCTTTTAAAACATTGAATCTAAATTCCTCTTGCCTTTATCTAAACCTGTCTTTCCTTTCTGTATACCCAATCAAAACAGACAAACCTCTTATGAATCATTGCTAAATTATTAGCTTTTCTTTAAAAAAAAGAAAAAGAAAAACTTGAATCAAAAGCAGGAGCATATTCAACATAAGATCCGAATGACTAATTTTTAAACTTTTCACCCCCATGTGTAAACCACTTTCTCTGACCCTGTACCCTGAAACACCTACCACTTGCTTTGCCAAGACTCTGAAAGTTTCTATGTTAAATACCACTTAATTTACAAAGGAAAAAATCTATACATACGTGATTAACTGAGCAACATCATGATGCTTTCTTCTTGGGAGGACATTCCCCCTCCATTTAGAAAAATTTTCCAAGGTGGAGCTTGCATTTGGGGTTATCTTTATCTTATCCTCATCATTCCAGATTTCTATTCCAACTAAGGCCACGTGAGTATTGAGCTTTTTATAAAGCTGTCCAAAGAGAATAAATGGCAAAGCAACAATTCATGATGGTGATATTGTCTTGTAATATTTTCAGTGTACTTTAGATTTTCAAATTTATTTATAACAACACTGTAAAAACCTTATTTCCAAATATACTTGTGAAACGGAAGTTACCATCTCTTTTTGCACGTGCTAGCATCCTCATTCTTAGGCAAAGCAGACATCCTTAGATATTTCAGGTCTATAAACATTTCTGGAGCAAAGATCCTATTGGAACAGACTTTTTCTACTTGCAACTTTAAGAAATATTATAATTTTCTGTTAGTAGTTCATAACTATGACTTTAGTTGAAGAGTATGTACTCAAACACCTTGTAGCATTCTCCGAGTCATAATATTTCAGAATTAGCTGGGTTGACTGAGCGCTGGTTTGGACATTAGAAAAGGAACATGCCACATGAAAAAGTCCTGCTTCTGTGAATCGCAGTAAAGTAAGTGTTCCTCTAATTCTTAAACCTAGACAGAACCAAATAACCTACAATACATATAGGGTCACCTTAAGAAATGACAAGTTAAGCTTATGAGACAATACACTTACTCTCAAGATAAAAGCTTATATTGCTACTATAGTTTATAAAACTGCATAGTGTCGGTCAAAGAGTACAAACTTCCAGTTATAAGATGAATAAGTTCTGGGGATCTAATGTCCAGCATGGTGATTATAGTTAATAATATTGTATTATATACTTGAAAATTGCTAAGAGAGTAGATCTTAAATGTTCTCACCACCAAAAAGAAATGGTAATTATGTGACATGATGAAGGTATTAGCTAATCTATGGTGGTAATAATTTTGCAATATGTAAGCATAGCAAATCAACACATTGAACACTGTAAACTTATACAATGTTACATGCTAATCATATCTCAATAAAGCTGGAAAAAAACTGCACCATGACAGGCTCTCTCATGGGGTAACTTTCTGTTGAGAAACCCAATGAAATTTTTTTTAAAAAGTAGTTTGGAAAACAATAAAAGCATTGAGGAATGCAGTTATCATCAAAAGAGAAGTAAAAATCTGACTATATTAAAATCCTCCCCTTGATTATTCTCTCAGCTTCCTTATTCCTCTCTTGCTTTCTTTTACTCACCTGACAAAACTCCAGTCCTGAGTAAAATTAACTCCCCCGCTGTGTCTTTCCTCCACCATGCTCCAGAAGACGGACAGGAGAAAGCACACTATGCTGACTGCTTTCACTTTGAAGCCGTGATTACTAACGTCAAGTGGTCTTTACTACTCTCCAGCAAGCCTGCTGCATTTCCAAAATCCATTCACCCTCATAGTCTTCTGCACATTTTTCCATACTCTCTTCTCTTTCTTAGAAATTCTGACACTTTCTTTTAAATTCTCACTTTGAGCAGATGCCCCTGCTTCCAAACTCACTGGGAATATAGAGGCAATCAGAAGGAACTTCCACAAGCTCCCACCACCAGCCTAGCCACTGGTCTACCCCTGTTCAAACACCCTGGGCCTCCCCTTCGTTATTATATGAATGAATGGTCTGGGGGCTGAAGGCCAACTTCTCCACTGATGCCCTAGATCTCCTAACTCTCCCAGATCAAGGAGATTACTCCAGCAATTCTTCCATCTTCCTTGCTTTGTCAATGCTTACCCTTCTACGGAATTGCTCCCATCAGCATAAAAAGGATGATCCGTCACGGCGGGGGCAGGATTTCTCTTTACGAGCCTTCCCCCTCTAACTTATGCCCCCTTTCCCTGCTCCCATTTATAGCAACACTTCCGGAAGGAATTTTCTGAATTAGCGGTCTCTGACGCCACTTCTCCCATTCTCTCTTGGACTCACTACCCAAGCTTTCACTCTCACACCCCACAGAAACCTGCTTCATCCAGGCGCCCAGCAACTTCTGCTTTGTTAACTCAAAAGGCCAATTCTCAGACCTCAAAAGCATTTAACATCATTGATCATTCTTTCTCTTGATAGATTTTTGTTTCAAGTAGCTTCCAGAACAACACTCTCTCCTGGTTTTCTTCCTCCCTTACTGTCTAATTCTTCTTGGTCTCTCTGTCAGTTTCTCCTCTAGTCTGACCTCTCCTCAAAGAAGTACTTCCAGGATCTACCCTTAGATCTCTTTTTCACTTATCTACACCCACTCTCATCATGATCTTACAGGGGTTGGCCAACTTTTTCTGTTAAAGATCCAGATAGAAAATATTTCAGGCTTTGAGGCCATGTGGTCTCAGTTGCAACCACTCACCAGCTCTGGCATCGTAGCAGGAAAGCAGTCACAGACTATGTGTAAACAAACGGGAGGGGCCGTGCTTCGATAAAACTTTATTGTATAGAAAGACGGCAAGCCAGATTTAGCCCACAGGCTACAGCATGCTGTGTTGTGTCTTATGCCATCTGTATGTACTGAAGACTTAAAGGTTTATATCTCCATCTAGACCTTGCCTCTGAACCCCAGTCTTGTATATCCAGCATTTCCACCTGGAAATCTTTATATAAAAAGATATCTCAAAGTCAATGTGTCCAAAATGGAAATCCTAATCTTTCCTCTGAGTCACTATCCCCCATCATTATTCACCATTCTTTTTTTTTTGGTGAGGAAGATTGGCCGCGAGCTAACATCTGTTGCCAGTTCTCCTTTTTTCTTGAGGAAGATTGTCTCTGAGCTAACATCTGTGCCCATCTTCCTCTATTTTGTACGTGGGATGCCGCCTCATCATGGCTTATGAGCAGTGGGCATGTCCACGCCCAGGATCCAAACCGTGAACCCCGGGCCACCAGAGCGGAGTGCACAAACTTAACCACTACACCACCAGGCCATCCCTTTCCCCATTCTTGAAGTTGCTCAGGTCAAAGCTCATGTTGTCACTCGACGCTTCTCTTTTTCTTATACTTTTCATCTCCCAGCTACCTCATAAACCCTGTTGACTCTATCCAGAAATCAGTTATTCTCAATAGATCCACTATCACTGCTTTTTCTCAAGCCACCATCATTTCTTGCCCTGATTTGTGGCACAATTCCCCTATCTCATCTTGTTTCTGCCCATGCTTTCCTTCAGTTTATTTTCAACATAAGGGCCAGGGTAATCTCTTAAGAACATGCATCCGAACATGTCACACCTCAGTTCAGGCTCTCCATTGTCTTCCTCACTCATGAAGAAGAACAAAGTCCTTCCACAGGCCCTCCAGGGCCTTCGGGTTCCAGCCACTGCTCCTCGTCAGATGTCATCTCCTCCCACCCTTGCCCTGGCTTACTACATTCCAGGCACAATGGTCTTCTCAGTGTTCCTCAAACATGACAATCTAGGTTTTGCCCTCAGGTCCTTTGCTCTACCTTCATACCCTCCCCTAGGGTCAAATACTTCTCTCCCTTCCTTCAGGTCTCTACTCAATTCATCCTATTAGCGAGGCCTTCTCTATTTAACATAGCATCCAAGATGAACCTCTCTCTCTTTTTTTAAATTTTTTACCCTGCTTTATTGATGTTTATAGCATTTTTTACCATCCTACATATTATTTATTTGATTTGTTTGTGTTTCGCTCTTTAAACAAGAATGTAAACTCCTCGAAGGAAAGGATAACTTCTTGAAGTAAGGGCTCTGTGTCAGTTTTATTTCCCACTTCATTTCCATAATCTAGAAAAGTACCTGGCACAAAGTAGATGCTCAATAAATATGGCCAGTTCTTGGGGTTCCTTAAGAGGAGTCATGTGATCTTTGTGGTGAGAAGACAAGATATGACCTGGGTCATGGAATCCACCCTCATTTTCTTTCTAAGAGGATTCGCAGGACATCGCAAAGTGACTCGCCTATTTCAACTAAGTATGCTAACTATGTATCAAGACACTAACAATTACGATTTAATTAGGAGGAACATGGAAATCATTTTTTAAAAAGATTTTGGAAATTAGATGATAAAACCATGTTTAAAGAATAGATTCAACAGTTGTACAATCAAAATGGGCTTTGAAATCTCAGTGACCTAAGTTTAAATCTTATCTTCACCATTTCATAACTTTGTGACCTTAAGCAAGTTACCTCGCTCCTCAGAATCTAATTCTTTAGCTGTAAATTAGGCTTACTAATATCTTAGGGTAGTTTTGAAGATTAAACGAGACACTGTACGTGAAAGATGCTATTGTGCCAGAACTTAGCTTATTTTGTGTGAGGGTTTTGTTTTTTTCCTGTTCTCTTCCTCAATTGGCTTTCCATTGAGATTTTTTTTTTCTCAGCATTTTCTTACAGGGCTTTAGAAAAACAAAAACCATTCAAACAAAGCCGCTTTTTTTACCTGCATGGATCTGAGAATAGTGTGGCAAGTGGGTGAGAAAAGTCTCTATCATGTAATATTAATATTCAGTTCAGTGGCAAAAGCCATGGCTCCCTTTCGAGAGCCGTCAGCAGCGTTAGTCTCAGGAGCATGGACTCTCCTCCTCTGCTCATGAGCATTCGCAGGGACACTCAATGACACCACCTAGCAAGTTGTCAAAATTATACTTAATAAAATATATCATACCATGTTGACGTAATTGGCCATCTCAAACACCCTCTTTCTTATTTCCTCTGGATCTTGATTGTACTTTTTAAACTAAAAAACAACCAAGACAAAATATAGGCATTAATAGAAATTGGAAGGTAAAAAAGGCAACCTCAGTTTATATTACCTCTCAGTGGTTGTAATTAAGAATCAGTTGTAAAAGTTAACACGTAAAAGTTAGAAACCAATTGTTTCCTTATTTCTCTAGCTAAATTAAAGCACTTTGGGAGTAGAGATGATGTTTTGTCCCCTGAGGTACTAGCTCAGTGTAAAGCCCTAAGGAATTATTCCAAATGTCTTTTCAGTTAAATACCATGGTTTCCTAAGCTGCGCAGAATCAGTGCGAGGAAGAGCTTAGTCATCAAAAAAAAATGTGAACAATAAATGAACTTAGTATAATAAGGGAGGTTATAGCTTTAGGGCCTGAACTAATTAATTTACTCATATTATCAAAGCACAAAATTTTTCCTCTTGAGATTACATATATGGACCTCAGACTTAGAACACCCAAAATATAAAAATGCATTCTTATAGAAGAAGATAAATAATGAATATTACCAAAAAAATTGTCTTTTTCAGACGAGTCCATTCATTAGACTTTTATATTTACTAGTTCCTGATGAGCATAAATTCTAATTTTCCAATGATTTAACTACTTAACGGAAGACAAATGACAAAGGAATTTAGTTGGAAACCAAGTTTGGAGCTTTTAAGACAATAAGAAAGGAGCATTATAGTGTAAAAAAATCAGTTTATGCATATCATATCAGGTGCACATTCCTGAAAAGGAGAAATCACATGAATCTAATTATATGTCAGATTTCCTAGGTTCAGAAAAATTTGTAAAAAAAAAAAAATAGCTCATATTTATCATTTTTCAAAACTGAACTGTATATTTAATATCTTACACAATTAATGAATTTATGTAGAAGGGATTTTAAAAGACACATTTATCTAATATAATTACCTCACCATTATCCAGGACCAAATAATATTCTATATATTTCTTACGTTCCCAAACCTTCTGGTCTTTCAATTTCTGTAAAAAATATAAAAAGGTAAATTACTAAGACAACATCTTTCTCTGCAAGGGGCATTCCTTTATTCGAAACGTGTAATTTTATAAGAGATTGGTTGATATCTGGAAATAAAGGAAAACAATATTACCATTTTAACTCTAACTAATCAGCCAGGGTTATCTGTCGGCGAGACTCAGAATGTTAGACCTAGAGGAGACATTAGTAATATTCTAGTCTGACTCCTTCATTTTACTGAAGCGTTTAAATGATTACACAACTAATTAATAGACGTGCTGGAACTAAAACTGAAGTCTTCAAATTTTTTGAACCGTGGATTTTCCTCACTATCCTGCCATGAAATAGAGAAACTTTGCCTTCAGCATTCTTCTAGTGGTTTTTTAAGTAGCCTTTTATTCCTATCCCAGTGAATACCCCTCCTTGACCAATGGTGCAATGACCAGAGCCACCATGGCACCTGGTCTGCTCTGTTCTTCTCAGGTAGAGCTGGATCTCTTTCCCACATTCTGAACTTCCTATTTTCTGTTCCTATCTTTCCAAAAAAAAAGCAAAAACAGTCCACATTTCATAGTGGATTGTCCCATTGAAAAGTAGCAGACATATTATTCGTAGTAAATAATAAACCACCAAAGTTTATTATGTTGCATTTTTGGAAGTGCTTGTCTTTTGACAGGTGAATAAGCTTCCATTAAAAAGAGCAAATTACTGAAGGTAGACTTTCAGGTATTATCTAATGAGATGTGGACTTACCTCCCACCCTCCACAGGAGCAACATATTCATTAGCACTTACACTGCACCAACAGTGTTCTGGGTACCTGGGTACAGCAGTGAAATAGACATGGTCCATGTGCTTAAGGAGCTCACAATAGACAACCAAACATAGATATATCAGGTGGTAATTAGCGCTATGCAGAGGATTACATGGAGTGATGTGATATTGAGTGACAAGGTAGTTATTTCAGAATAGATGGTTAGGGAAAGCTCTAAAGTGTTGGCCCTGAAGTACACAGATTAGTGAAAATGAGAAGCCAGACAAAGGAAGATAAATTGGAAGATAATTCCAGCAAAGAAAAAAAATGAGCAAAAATGATTCTAAGGTGAATTGATATTGGCATGTTTAAAGCATAGAAAAAAGTTTGTGTTTGTCAGAACATAATGGGATAAGTCACCAATGGGTGGGGAGTGGAAGGTAGGAGGAGATTAGAGAGGTAGGTGGGGCCCAGTCATACAGAGAGTTGCATCCCATTGTCAATATTTTAGATTTTGTACTAAAGGTAGTGAGAAGCCATTAGATGGTTTTAAACAGAAAAATGACATGATGTGATTGACAATAAAAGAATCAGTCTACATGTTTTGTGGAGAGTGGATTGTACTGAGAAGGCAGTGGGAGTGGAAAAGACAGGTAGAGGCTGCTGCTAGGGTTATTGTGAGATGCATGGTACTGTGTGGTAGTTGGGAAGAGGGAGCAAAGTGAAAGATCTGGAATATGTGGAGACACTTGCTGACCAACACCGTATGAGGAGGGATGCAGGAAAGAGGAATCAAGGATAATTTCTAGATTTGGGTCTGAACAAATGAGGAATGATAGTACCATTAACTGAGATGGAGGAGAATGAGGGAGAAGCGGGTTTTGTTTGGGGTCCGGAAATCGGTAGTTCTATTTTGACCACATTTACTTTGTGATATTAGACACTGGAATGGATTCATGAAGTAGGAAGTTAGTTATAACCTTCTGGCCTTAGGAGGGAGGCAAGGGCTGGAGGCATACACTGGATAATAACTAGTGCAGAGTTCCTATTTAAATAAGGCGTAGCATAGGATGAAGGATGAGATTGCCTAGGAAGAGTGTGTAGATAAAGCAAAGAATAGGACCCAGGACTGAACTGTATGAAGGCCTCTAATACTTAGCGGTCAACCAGAGGAGGGATAACAGTGAGAGGAACCGAGAAGGAGCACTAGTGAGATAGGAGGAAAACCAAAACAATGGGGTGTCATGAAAGCAAGACTATTCGCACAGCACATGGTTACCAAGGAGTTGAGAGAGAGGAACAAGAGGCCTGTACCAAGCTAAACCAGGAGGTCGACATTCACAGCAACATGTAGCTAACAGTGGTTCTTCTGGGTTCTTAGATAGAATATTGCCAGTAGAGTTTAAACCCACAACAAATTGAACCCACTGGAGATTTCATTCAGACCAATTCTTCCCAGTGCTTATGGATTCTGAGAACATTTAGAAGAGTTGATTGGATATGAAGTGGATTCTGAAGGAAATGAAAGTAATAATGACAAAGATATTTTTTATGTACACTTTATAGTTTCAACACAAACCATTTTCATTTTACTTTTTTGACTGGAAGCGAAATTCCGTATATGAAAGAATATTCTAAGTTCCTGTGGGCAAATTCTCTATTTATTTTGCTCACTGCTGCATCTCCAGCACCTATGGCAGGACTTCAAGAAAGATTTGTTGAATGAGTTCATTCATGACAGCAGAATATTTTATCTCAAAATAATAGTAATACTTTATACCTTTGTCATATGTTGAAATATTGTGAAAGTTGCCTGCTGCTAGAGAGCAATGATTGTATCTTATACTCCTTTTTAACCCTTGCACATTGCTGTTAATAATAGCTGAGCCATAGTACTTAGTAAATAAATCATCAATGTACAACAAGGTTTTAGCGTCTTGATAGCCTACTAATTTCAACAATGACTATAAAGCTTCAGTCAATTGCAGCTGCTAAGAGTAGAACCTGGGGCAGCCAGGACAGAATACATGACAGTACTGCAAATAAAATATAAAGGTATGCATACAGCCAGACTGGTGGCAGGTGGGGCCATATTCTGCTGAGATCCATGTGTCCATAATATGTCATCCATCCCACAGGTGGTGTTAGCCTTCTTTTCATCAGGATCATGCTTGAAGAGTGCGTGCTCTTGTCCATCCTGGTTTGTGGGGCTTAAAGGTTCAATGAAGTAGCTTTGATCTCCCTGACTAAAGTAGCCCCTGAAAAACATGAGAATTCAGGCTTAAAAATGTTCCTGTGTTTGAGTTCTATAGACTTATAGACTCCAAAAAGGTACCAATGCCAAAACATGCCAAGCTCATGGCAGTACAAGACAGTGTAACATTACAGCTGAAGACACTCTTAGAGATTACTTAAACTTACTTTCTCTGTGAGGAAATAGGACCTGCTGGGGAGAAGTGACTACTGAAATGTCATGTAGCTAACCTATGTCAGCGCTGGCACTACAATGGAAATTTCCTGACTCTCAGTTCAGAGTTCTTCCAATTTCTGAGCGATGTATGCTCTAAAAGTACACTGGAAATGAAAGAGACTTTGGAATCTTACAGATGAGGGTTAAAATTCTGAGTCTATCACCTATTAGCTGTAATACCATGGGAAAATTATTTAAACTTGCATGGTCTCCATCTAGAAAATATTATATATATTCTCCATCTATAAAATAGGAGTAGTAATATCCATCTAATAGGATGGTTGTAAAGATTGAAGGAGGTCATATGTAAAGCACATGATCTGTGAATATTATCAATTTCTTCTCAATTCTCTCTGCTGAAGCCCTGGATTGAGATTCATTCAACCAATATTTAGGAAGCACCCATTATCCATTAGGCATTGGATTAAGGGCAGATAGTGAAAAAGAAAAGAGTCATGGTCTCTCCCCTCATGGAGCTTGTAATCAAATGAAGAGGATGTATTTGGATAAAATAATCACATTTGATTCACAAATATATAAAATTATATAACATATATTTAGTAAACATAATGACAACAGATAATTGCTGGGAAGAAAAATACAAGAACATATAATAGGGAGACTGGATTAAGTGTACATAGAATTAGAAGACAGCAAAAGTTGATACGAGAAGATAACTTAGGTGGTTTATTGAAATGGTCTGCACAAAGTAGCATGGTGGTTTGGACTAAGATGTGGCAGTAGAGAGAGAATGTAGTGAATAATCTCAGGAAATTCATAGAATATAAAATAAATAGAGGTTGGTAATTAATTGAAAATGAGTAGTTGAGAGGCAAGAAGTCATCAAGGAATCTAGGCTTCTGGATTGGGCAAGTGGTCAGTTGATTACATCATTTATTGAGATGGGGAGCACCAGAAAAATCACAGATTTGGGAGAAAATCATTAGTTTGATTTGGGACATATAAAGATTGAGATTTCATTAAGATATTCAGATGCGGAAGAGATATGGAGATATGGAAGAGAAAATTAAATAATCAAGTCTGGGTATCAGAATAAATATCCTACTGTAGACAGATACATGGGGAGTCATTAACAAACAGAAAGAAATGGATTTCATAGGCATGGCTAAGACAAGCTAGAGAGAGAGTTTAGAGTGGAGAGAGAAGGTGGAGAGGAGCTTCCAGTCCCTAAGGATCCTTACTTTCAAACTGGGATTCAAAATCCTGTATTTTGAAAGCAAGCAAACCAACAAAAATAGCTCTGCAAGCAACTCAGATGTGTAATTTATTTTATGTAATTTATTTATTTTTGTGTGTGTGAGATCAGCCCTGTGCTAACATCTGCCAATCCTCCTCTTTTTTTTTTTTTTTTTTTGCTGAGGAAGACTGGCCCTGGGCTAACATCTATGCCCATC